AAGATTGTGCCGGTTGGTGCCGAACTGGGAAGTGGAGACTGAAAGCCAAGGTTCAGAGTTGGGAACCAAAACGCGAGTCCATCACCCGACGCATCCGTATAAACCTTCAGAACGTCGTCCTGAAGCTGTGTAAAGTTCCAAGAGACGGACTTAAAGAAGAACACTCCCTCAGCCGACCGAAGGTGACCTATAACCCAGTGAAGCTCTCTAACGACGTCACGATTAACCCACAGCAGGGCCTTTGATACAAGCTTCCCTGCGGTTTTGGCGTAAAGAGCCGAAAGTCCCGGACGAAGGAGTGGGTACACGTTTAGAGCCCAGTTTAGCCATCCTGCCAAACGCTGAAAATCTCGCAAAGACCTGCGAGAACCCTTCTGAGCAAAGTCGATAAGCTCTTGAATGAGCTGAGAGCGAGATGCGTCCGACATGCGCGCTCGCATCAGGTTAGGGTCCACATCGAAGCCAATAATAGGTAGCTCGAGCCCAAAAATTTGCTTTCTCTCCTCATGAGGTACCCCAATAGCGTCCCATAAACGAAGTAACTTGACCATATTCCCTGGTAGGAGCTTGTTATATGGTGGATAGAACTCCATACTCCGTTTGTCCTCGAAAGAGAACGAATCGTCGACGTAGATATAGAGGAAATGGATGAGGACCTTGAAAATTGCTATCCATATGACAAGCGACATGAAAGCATGATAGATTCTCTGCGAGGCTCTACCTCCAAAGACGTTCCTTCTGTCAACGTAGCGACGACCCTGGAAACTGACGATTTGCTTGATTTGCCATAAGGGGTGCATAGGCATGTGACGGTAGGCTTCCGAAACATCAGCTTTCCAAAGAATCAACTTAGCATGTGGACGCGATCGCCTAAAGGCCCGCAGTCCATTTGCTAAATCATGGACGTTGTCGAGGGTGACTCCAGCGATGTCGTCGTGAGAAATCATTGAGTTAAGAGCATTCTTCCCCGCACTATGATCGGTTACCAGCCGATGCTTGTTTGTTCCCGGTTTAGGTACAGCATGGATGGGCATACTGTACATGCCGGGAAGCAGATCTGGTCCGAAAGCTTGAGAGTAGCGACCAACATCAACCTCCTTTTCAATTTGCTCACGTAAAAACTCAGTTTCCGCGTCAGATTTGGGAGGACGATCCGAGTTGTCGAAAATGAGTGGTCCATTCATGAGGATGGGTGTCGGCGAAAGGCCAAAAGCCTTCGCGAAGACCAACACAAACAGAGTGAACAAAATCCGGATTCGGATGATCAGCTAACAAAGACTCAAAAACATCAACTTTGATGGGAGTCGAAACTTCGAATAATGAAGGATGCGACTCGATGGTGTTTGTTGCGCCAAGATTCAAGAATTCGTGAGGCGGAGGACGAGGCATTGGAGAGGCAGACTCCGTCCAAAGAGCCGTTCGGCTATATGCAGACATTCCAGATCCCCAAACTCCTTTGCGCCGAAAACGTTGACCACGCGCAATATCTTCATTTAGAAGGCCCTTTGTTTGGGCACTCCGACTTCCGGTGAGCTCCCCGACATCCTCGTCGATCACAGCAGTGCGAGAACCTACACTCGCTGTCTGATTTCTGACAGGTTCCTCTATTCCATTTATGGCAGGGATCATCCCTTCCGCTATATCCGTCCCTCCGATTCGTTCTTCCCCCGGAACCGGATGCGGATGAGGTGGTATTGGAACCAACGCCAAAGGAGGTGAGGAAAGTGGTTCGAAGATGTTCGAATTGGGAATGATCAGTGAGGCGTAAGTTTCTTTGCATGGCCACCTGATTTCTGACGGATCGATCGAATTCGATGACTCGAGAATGTAATCTGACTTCCATGGCATGGAAGAGCCTGCTAAGATAGGTGTGATATTGGATGAACTCGTCCCTTCGTTGCGGGAAGACAAACGCAACGGCTTCGATATACATTGAGAAGGCGATGTTATGGTCCGAAGACGTTTTGATTCCTCCCGAAGACTTTGAGACTCGGAGGGCAAGTTCAATCTCGTCATCAATGACGTGGGTTTGTTTTGGGTCGAGTTCTGTAGTATGGGCAGAGTCGAGGACTTTTCCGAGGTCGACGTATTTCCACCGCACGATATTGAGCCATTCACCGGGTGGAAATGGTGGACATCCCGGTGTGGATAAGATATTGGTGACGACGCCTTTAGGGTCGACAGAGAAGTTTTCAAGTTGCTTGTAGGTTTCTCTGATATCCGAAGGGAGAGAGGCAAGCGCTTCGGTTCTCCTTTGTGCCCAGGGAAATTTGGTGACGTCAACGACTTTGGCTCGTTTTGAGGGTGGTGAGTCATCCTCTTCGAATTCTGAGCCATCTCTAGACCGTTTACCTCCATCTTCGGTTTCTTCGACACCGGTAGACCCCCTATTCTCTCGCTCAGTTTCCTCTTCTTGCTGCCTTCCCTCAAAATGTCTTTGTCCTCGATCTTCAGCTCCTCGCTTTGACGCATCGATGTCATCGAGCATTCCGATGAAGACATCAAGGGCTTCATTAAGGTTTCGTCCACTTCGGACAGCCGGTGAGTTAGCGAGAACTTCTTGGAGGGTGAGGATAGTATAGGCCTTCCCCTTTTGACCAAGTCGATATTGGTTAATGAGCTCGCTGCATTGTTCAACGCAGGAGAGATCAGAGATAGGTTCTGAGAACGATTGGGGCGCTCCAGACGATGCAAGAGTTTCTGAGGTTTGTCCATTTTCAGACATGAAGATTTATTCTGATGATAACGAAGTTATTTATATTGATCCGAAACTAGCAAGCGAGGCGACGGTAAGAGTTAGAAAGAGCTTTCACTCAAAAACATTAGTCGAGCTCACCAAGCGAGGCGACGGGAAGAGTTAGAAAGAGGGCAAACTCAATCTAACACGGAGTCGCCCGCTAAGTAAGCATAGCTCCACCATAGGAGGACGGAGCCTGAAATAAAGATTGGTCCAATCTTCGAGGACAACGTGAAAGGCGCACTGACCATGGCAAACATGATCAAACGCCGAGCACACCCGCTGAGAGCGGAAGATATTTGAGTCAGACTCAAACAGAACACGTCGCTCGCAACGACGCTAGTAATCACGCGACCCATTAGCTTAGTATAAATAAAATTAAACCCAATTAAACTAACATAAAGATGGGTGCACGACTTCAAATTTTGGTGGTGTTTTGTGTGTAATCCAAAATATCAAATATTCACAACCATATTCCCACAGACAATATGTCAACAAACATAAGAAATATAGTCAGATTTTTCATGTCTGCTTCAACTTAAAGTTCAATTTCCATGTAAAACTTTGGAGAAAACTTGAAGTTTTACAGATGACATGACATTAAAACTCGATTTAAATGTCAAGCTTTGGCAAAACTTCAAGTTTTCTCCAAAGTTTTATGTAAGAATCAAACTTTAAATTGAAGCAGACATGGAAAATCTGATTATATTTATTATATTTGTTGACATATTGTCTGTGGGAATATGGTTGTGAATATTTGATATTTTGGATGACACACAAAACACCACCAAAATTTGAAGTCGTGCACCCATCTTTATGTCAGTTTAAATATTAAATATTGTCTTCACATTTTGTACAACATATAAACCTCTTTTAAATATCGTTCACCCCGATGTGAGGGGGAAATTGTTGAATCGCAGATCGTGCCATTGTTGGAGCATTGGACAGTGCTCCAGAATCTAGTTCTATTACTGGGTTCACGTCTACTCTCAGGTAATTCATCATAACCGCAACTGGGTCCGCCATTGAAGTCATGCTGGAAAATTGCGTTGAGATGGATATTCGCTTTATGGTATGTTGCTGGAGCGCGGCTCGCACTGACCGAAAGTTGCCTTAAGCGTAACACGGACGCACGGTGTTACAGTGAATTTTCCACGCACAGACCATGAACAGAAAACTTTATAAACTTGTCCTGGAATATTTCTGGTTCTTCAGAACATACTCAGCTAGGATCTATTTTATAGAAACTAACTCGAGTCTCGCATGTTTACACATGCCACATCCTTCAATTCCGCTGGATGACACCAGTGCTCGCTCGTTCGACAGAGAACATGATTTCCCCTTTGGGGAATCTCGAGGACGTTTGGGTTTGCGCAGTGTCAGACTGCTTGCAGTCTGGTGAAGCCGAATCCAGCGAGTGGAGCGCCTGTCTGACGGAATCCTATGTATTAGGCAAATATGATGATATCCGATGTTCGTCTGAACTTTCGTTAGCGGCTAGTCCGATGTAAGCTTTGTTTTCCCTGTGCATGTCTGTCCTCGCAGTGCGGTTGTGTCGTTGTGTTTCAAAACGGTACTATACGATACTCACGACATCTTCATCCAAGGTATACTATGCATAATAATCCATCCAGACTGTACAACATGCTGATACTATCCCTACTAATAGGTCCGCAGCGACCTCACGGTCATCGGTGGCTTCCCTGGGCTGGGCTTCCCTGGATAGTGCTTGGCCTGTCAATGAATAAGGAATCTGTCAGAGCCGTCGATGTCATAATGCATTCACAACGCCAATCCGTGACGTCGAGTGTGCCTAGTATGCGGGCCGCCCCTAGCACCTGGTTGTATGGTTGCGAGAACAAATGTCGCATATATAAGAGCGTCAGATGCTCTCTTATCAACATCCTTCCCTGTCGTCCTTTCTTTCATTGTGATAGATTCCAGTCAAGTGCAGCAAATGTAAGTTTAATGCACAGACTTGGTGTGTTCCGATAGCGATTGAACTTGAGCACTCCCAGGCCCGTACGCTTCAAGTTATACGCCATTCTTGTGGCAAACAGTACCTTCATAGCTTCTGATTTTGGCCTCGGGACAATAACACATTCTAGGTATCCTGATATACGACCATATGGCAACTATCACAGATGAAATTACTTTTATCTGGTGTCGTCCAAAAGCACTGTCTGCAATATTATTCCTCATAAATCGCTATGTCGCTCTACTCGGCAACGTCTATATGTTGTCTGTGTATCTTCTGCCCATCATGTCACATGAGGTCCTATGGTCTCGTTATGCGCATACCCAGTTGGCAGGCTCACATCTTCTTTCCGCAGAGGTTTCAACTCTTGTTCTTCAATGTGTTGTTTTTTCTCAACAAAGACCTAGCTGTCGGACATATTTTACATCGAAAGATCTACTCTTCTTTTCCCAACAAATATTCGTTTGTTGTAAGTGGAATTTTATGGCGAGAAATACATGTATTGACATTGCCAGTTATATTGACTCTTCGCACTTATGCTCTCTACTGCGGTAACAAACGCCTCCTCGCTCTGATGATAATCATCGTTTGTGCTCTTGGGGGAGTGACTGTACGTGTTCGCACAAGTATTTACTCTGGCACTCTACTTATGGTTATAGGTGGGAACATTTGGACTCCGTTCAAGCGCCGTCGTGCCAGGATTGAATTGCCTTGACTCATACGCAAAATATATGTGCGCCATTTCCTTCTCCGTTCCGTGCGCTTGCTCAAAGGATGTTGCAGAGCCGTCAGTTAGTGATTTTTGAGTCGGACTCGCGTCGAATGTAATCCTATAACTTAATTAAATTACAGGTCCTGGGTTGGGATGGGTGACGCTACTCGTCTACGAATTACTCGTATTTGTCCTCACAGTTTGCAGGATATGCAAAATTAGAGCACTGTCACTGGCAATATCGAGGGGACACATGCTTGATATCATGTTTCAAGATGGTAATTTTTGCTTCATCGGTATCGTAAACATTGATTCAAGCAAACGCAGGTGCCATGTATTTCGCGTGAGCTTGCCAGGGAAACGGTAATTCGAGTAAATCTGATCCGTATTCCTTCAGGGTGATGACGTTGTTTAATCTACTCAACATCCTGACGTACTACGTGAGTCCACTAACAAAATATTTGCCGAGTTGCACGCTCACTCTTTGGCTCAGTGTGGTTCAGTGAGCACCCACCCGCTTCTTGTAATTATTGACTAACTATTGCTGGTGACTGGCAAGAATACCACCAGAGGCATTCTGGCTACATTTACTAGCTGGTGAGTATCTGGTGCGGTAGACACAGATTAATTCTGACTATGCACTCTAGCATATCCGTGACTCTCGTCTCTCGGCTGATGCTCAATCTGCACAAATCTGTCGACACAGGCATTCTTACTACCCCCGTCCAAGATGATGACTACGATTCCATTGTCCTTACTACTAGGATCAACGTACAGTCCACGAATTCCTCTCGCCAATGCTAGGTTGATATTTCTGGATTTGTATATTCGTATTGGAAGTGGAAAGTCAATATTGGGGTAGTGTCCAGATCCGTAGGGACGAAGCCTGTTAACCTACAACACGTTCCTTTCTTCTTTATATTCAACGTATTGTGCTCCACACCCCATTTTCCTCGACGCACGGTTAAACCGAATCTCATATCTCTACTTTCCTCGATCCGAGTCGTGCTTTGCAACGCCCATGATTTTTTAGACTCACATTTTCGTCTCGCGCAAACTTTGACGTGGGCATTCGTGGTACCATGACGGGTCATCATCTGCCCTAGTTCCCATATTTACCGGCATCTTCATTAGTGTACGGTGAATTACCGTAGGACCAAAATATCATGAAGTTTATTGTACGCTACAAGATAGGGTCAACTACCAATAGCAATGTCAGCTCGAGGGAGGCAATTGACCTCTTTTGTACAAGGAATAAATCTTCGACCGGCACAACGTCGATGAAACGGATCCCGCCGCCAGACAGCGTCATTCTGCCACCAAAAGTAAAGATCGAAAACAGCACTCTTTCGCCGTCGACCGTTGTTTCTCCTGATGGAGGGTAAGAGCTTGGTAAGAGTTGCTCGACATTAAAAAATATAGCTCTAAGATTGTTTCGTCGCCGATAAAATAGACACCATTGTGAAAGGTGCATTGGTACCACCGAGATCGTGAACCGTCACCAGTTGCAGTTGATCACCAGCAGTGTCGAGTCCGTCTCAAGTATATATAGCACCTTGCTGCTTGCTTTGCTTGTCTCTGATCGTACCAACGACGGTTCAGTGAACATTAACCATCCAGATACTGTGACACGTGCACCACCATTATTTGCGAGTCAAGTCTCGCCCATGTCGTGTCCGTCCCATCCACCAGCATTGTGTCACATCAAGCTTCACCCGGTGTTGCGTAAATTACACCAAGGACAAGTCACCGGGAATCCTTGAATGTCAATCAGCTAAGCTGGACAGAATTGCAGACCGAGGACTTGACCAATCTTCTGATAAACTGATAGGTAACAACCGTGCCACGGCCATTATGGGCGCGACCGGCAGAAATGAGTCAAGGGAGGCCAACAAAATGGACAGTCACAGAATGGAACAGTTGTTCCTTATGGGGTATAAAAGCTGGTCGCATTCCTATATTTTCCCATCCTCGGAGATATCATTCGAGATTCCCCTCAGGATATTCCATATCACCTCATACAAAAAATGCGTTTCTCCTTCCTTGCCGCTGTTGTTGCTTTGACCGCATCTATGTCTGTCAGTGCATGTCATAACTATCCAGATTCTTGCAACACAGATAAAGATTGTTGTCGGGGTTATCTTTGTCTATTTCAAGACGTGAGTATGAGCAGGTCGCTGTGCAACTAAATTTCAACTATATAACTCACCTGCACGCCTCAGTTGTTTGGAATGATGTGCACGCCGGTTGCTGAAAATGGAGCCGGCAACCAGAATAGCACGTCGTGACAGTGAGTCATGCTTCTGCCGTCGCTTTGGTGTCTCCGTACCATCCAACCCTAAGTGATTTTGCTATGGGGAACGCCTCAGAATTCTTTCAAAATCTTTTCAGGTTATAGGCCAGCTTTGGGCGTCACCGGGCGGCGCAAACTGGCGAATAATATGTCCTTGAGGCCTGTTGCCAAATAATTTGACAAATGTAGACATGATCTCTAGCGTTAGGTCAGGGATTTTTGTGGGATCATCACATTTCAGCACGACCATGGTTTGTCGGACTATGACACGTCCGTGGGCCATCGTTCTGTTTGTGTAACAGTGTTTGTACCGTTCAACCTTATTTGGCTGAAATGCTCGGAATTATTTTTTGCCTCATGTGACCGGCCCGTACAAATGAACTCTCAAGCTGCTCTACCCGGCGCTGATAGCTTTGCTTCAAGCGGAGGCAGGTCTGGTTCAAGCTTGCGCCTTCTCCAGAGGCTCCTTTTTGCCGCCCGTCTCACGAATGATATGAGCTGCTCCAAGTTGCATAAAAGATTCAGATCTGTCTTGACTGACATGTCAACTTGGGTGAACGCTCTCAGCATCTGGCAACGTTCTGATTCTTCCGAAGCTAGCTCTTTGTAAGGAAGAGCTTTGATCATGGATCATCCCATGTCCATGCGCTACAACGACGTGTCAGGGAAAATCACGCACAGCATCATGGTCATATGCTCTGGACTCTCCAACTACTTCAAGTTCGTGAATCGTGACGTGTGACCAACCCTTGTTAACCGCGTGTGTAACTGAATTTGCTTTGCACATGTAGCACATATTGTCCCAGCGTTCTCGTTGACACCCTTCCTCTTGGGTTGTGCTTTACAATGCAATGGATAATAGTGAGGCACAGCAGATGTGAGTGATGCATGGTTTAACTACGTGACTTGATAGTGACTCAACATGCCTAGTTTGTTGCACTCGTATGCCGTTCTTGTGGCAACCAGTACAAGGCTTTTTTTATAGTTGAGGCCCTCAGGATGATGACACGATATTCCAGGTATCCTGGTGTATGACCATGCAGCGACCCTCACGGAAGAAATCACTTTCATCTGGTATCGTCCGAAAGCACCATCTGCAATGCTATTTCTGCTCAATCGCTATATCGCTCTGCTCGGAAATATGTATGGTTTATTGATTAATTTCCTGCCTGTTCCAAAAGAGGTTCGATAATTTCATTGCGCGTATGCCAAACTGACAGGCTCACAACTTATTTCCGCAGAGGTCTCAACTTTGGTGCTCTAATCTTTCTTGTTTTACTTAACGGAACCTAGCTGTCCGAAATATTTGCTCTCCAGAGAACTCCTCATTTTTTGTCAACAATTCATCGTTTGCCGTGAGTTTGATTTCATGGCGAGAGCTACATATACTGAAATTTCAAGTCATATTGAGTCTTCGGACTTATGCTCTCTACGGCCGTAGCAAGCATCTGCTGATTTGGATGGTAGTGGTCGTTATTGCTCTTGCAGGACTAGCTTCTGTGCGTGTTCACACATAATGTTCTATTCTGAGAGCACTAACGGTTTCAAGGCGGGAATATTTGGACATCTTTCAAGTACTGTAATCGTCACGTCAGGAGTTGTCTGCTACGAATCAGATGTAACAGTGACGTACGTCATCTTCTTCACCATTCTGCACACCTGCTCAAAACATTGCTTCAGACCAGCCAGTCAGTAAACGCGAGTCAGATTTGTATGAACCATGATTTCATGATTTTATCCGATTACAGGTCCTGGGCTGGCATGGGTGGCTCTATTTGCCTACGAATTACTCATCTTTGTCCTCACATTATCCAGGATTTTCAAAATTAGAGGAATGCTGCGGTCACCATATTTTCTAATGTCCAGGCAAAACACCGTTGACATCATATTCCAAGATGGTAAAATTTCCGTTGTATCTGTACCGGAAATACTGATCCAAGCGAACGCAGGTACGATGTATTTCGGGTGAGGTTGCTGAGTAAAATTGTGATTCTATGGGGTGGATCTGATCCGTGTTCCTTCAGAGCGATGACACTATCTAATATACCGAACATCGTGATGTTCTACGTGAGTTGGTCAATGAAATATTAGTGGAGTCGCACGCTTACACATTGATTTAGTGCGGTTCAGTGAGCACACAGCCGTATTTTATGACTATTTCCTGACAGTTGGCAAGGGTATCAACAAATTCAGTCTCGCCACATTTACCAGCTGGTGAGTGGTTTAACGTGCGATAAAAATGAATTTATTTTCATATCGCTCTCCAGCATGTCCGTGACTCTCGTATCTAGACTAACGCTTAACCTGCACAAATCTATCGACACTGGCATTTTCACCACTCCTATCCAGGATAACCACGATTCCTATATCCTTACTACCAGGGTATCCATCCACGCACAAACTTTGATTTCCTAATAGAATATTGTGTCGAGCCTGTCTGTACTTCTTCACGTATGATACCTGGGCCTAAGCACTTGTACTGTGGTTGCGAATATGTACCATGGGTAAGTATCAAGCTGTTTAACGGAAACCATCAGATGTTCCAGGCCAATGGAGAGCTTTGGCCTCAGCGGCTGCTCAAACCCATTAGTCTCATACGAACCATATCCTCTGACACAAGTCGATGCGTTTTGGAATACCATGCGTCAAACCTGAGATGTATCACCTGCCTCACTTTCACCTTCATCGTCAGTCAACCACCATTTCCTTTCCTGCGCCCGAACCTTGTTCATCCCGTGCACCTGCTCAGAGACATGCTTCCACCGCTCAGCATAGATCCCTGCATTAAGGCGCCGACTCATTACTACCGAATCCCATGCGATGATGGTGGTGAGGTTCGGAAAGATGTCGGAGAGAAACGCTGCGACTGCTACAGTGGCGCACGCCTCGATCAGGGAGTCGGCGAGACCTATGGTTCGGATGGCTGTGTTTTCTATCCCTTCACGGTCTGATGGCACCTCTATGAACGCGTCCGTGTTCAAAGCAATACAAAGCTTTTGAAGCTCAGGACAACAGTCAAGCATCGTGATGAGGCCTATCTGAGTGATGCCAGATTTGGTGCGCCATCCAGCTGTGTCGTTGAGGGAGAAGGAATAGAGGTGGGGCCATGCAGAGACCAGCGACCGGAGGTCGTCGTCATCGAGGTGGATACTGTGATTGATATCGATGTCTATCCTGCCCAGGCTTTCAAAGCAGGTAAGGGGTATGAAGTCACCCAAAGTGAAAGTGTGACATGCAAGTCCGGAAGTCGAAATGCCACCCGAAGTCGAAACGCCACCCAAAGGCAGAACATGAAATCCATTCGGGGCGAGCGGAGGCTGGTAGCCCACATTGATTGGATAGCCCATCAGATTTATATTGGGTGGCGCCATATAAGGTCCTACATTAGCTTGGAGTTGTGGATAACCGAATAGCTGTAGGGGATGTGATGATGGGACCCGAGGACTTGGCGGGGTCTTCAATCGCAGACTCAGATCTTGCAAATGAGTACTCGAGAAACGCCTCAGAGCAGTAAAAGTGAAGTGATACTGGTAGGTGGCGGATTGGTGTCCACTAGCACGTGCATAGAAGCGGGCGATCCTCCAAGCCTGTTCAAGAATGGGTCTAAGAAAGACATATTTGCTGCGTGGATCTCGAAGTCGCGGACACATGAAAATGCCCCTGAAGGCAAAGACGAGTCCAGTCCGAGTCCTGCGTTGTTGATCATATTGAATGAAAACTTGCGAAGAGTTGGTTGTTTGGCGAGATGTAAAAGTGCGTTACCCTCGATTGCTCCACATTTGATCTCTTTGAGATTATTCCACGTGCAAAGGGCTTCCGATAGAGAGGGAAAAGTGTCGGTGGGCAGGGTCACTTCTGTGACGTTGGGACAAACGTAGGGCAGCGAAGCCAATATGCTGAGCTCTGGTATATGCCATTTACGACTATTATTTGTGATGGTTATCGCCAGGGAAGTAACTGTGGGCCCTGAAAGCGTGCGAATGAACGAGAAGGTCTCAGCTCTTTCGTCATTCCAGATGATTGATTTCAAATTTGGAAACAAAGGCGAGTTGGTTGGGGGGTGGCAGAGAGAGAGAACGACTGAGAGATCTACTGGCCGAGCAGGGTCATGGACACATAGGTGCTCGACACGACGTGCAAGGCCGCGAAGCACCTCCCATTCTGCCATTTTGAGTGGCCTCCTAAGCTTTGACACGGGTTGTGGCCATGTCTACATAAGTTCTCAAAGTTCGGATCACCTGTCATAGTAATCCAGGGCAAAGAGCTTACCGCGGTTTCTGCGGTGAAAGTCAGGTCGGAGGCCAAGGGTCGTAGTAATGGCGTGAGTCCGTCCAGTCGCGACCATAGAACTCTGGTGGCCACATGATGGAAGACCTTGGAGGTTCTAGCAAGAGAAGCAAGAGTTCTTCCCGCGGCAATACTGCCTGCGTGGTCGTTCTGCACATGTTCACATATGATACAAAGAAGCTCTTGGATAAGGAAAAGTCTGTGCATTCGCGCGCGTTGTGGCGGCGAATGCGACACGTATTGAAAGATGCCACTAGTTCCCTCTGAATCCATTTCCTGTGCACCAGCTTGAGTATTGAATATTGAGGCGATGCAAGAAACAGATGGACCCCGAAAGTCCGTGAGGAACTAGTAGTAGAGTAAGCAGTAGACTTGTAGGAAAAAGGGTTTTCGTGATTTCTCGCGTAAGGAATTTAAGGTAAGTCGGACATCGATGTTTATTTATATACTTAGCTCTTATATGAGATATATATGCATCATACATGCACTCTCACATTCATTTACGCCTTCAGATTCAGTGGCAGAATTTGCTGTTCACGCACTGGTAAGGATCAGATCATGGCCTGCGAGAGATCATCATCATCATCATCATCATTCCGTGATCGATTATGATACAAATTTTTTGAAGACCACCCGATCACTCCGAGATTAGGTCAAATATTGAGTGAGTAGTTAATCGACCCAGCCTTCAATGATTGTTTATTCCTTCCTGGGAACCACCATACTTCCACCCTCATACATACCGAGCGATAGATCAGAGCTCCTGCACTGTACTTCGAATAAGTAAGACCTGGTAGCCAACCGTTCCCTAGAAATCATGAACATCGAACTGGGAAAGTCGACATCTATTGATGGTTAAGTTAATCAATGTATATCGTATCAAAATCTTGAACAAAAAATGCACCTGGTTTATTCGTTGCGGCGCCACCTCCTTTCCTGTTGTCGAATTCTGATCATTCCCCTGATTTCCTGAGAAACGCCTTCCCAACGAGTGGCGTGCACTATCGGGTCCACGTCCCGTCGGGTACGCATTCGATCCGACTTCCAAGCAGTAACCTCATTGAGCCTGGGGAATATATCGGACAGGAATGCAGCGACTACGGTAGTTGCGTGAAGTTGGATAACCGAGTCGGCAAAAGCAAGTGTCCGGATATTCATATTTTGGACTCCACCTCCTGGGCGATCCAAGGGCACCTCTGTAAATGTGTCGGTATCGATTGCAATGCAAAGAGTCTGGAGTTTGGGGCAACGTTGAAGCAACTCAAGCAAGCCAATTTGGGTGATGTCAGATTTGACGACCCAACCGTGCATTTTGTTGATACTCAAGGCCCGGAGGTGAGGCCATGCAGCCGCCAAGGATGCCAGATCTTCGTCTGTGAGATGTATACTGCAATTCACGTCAATCACCAAGGTATCAATGCTACCAAACTGGGCGAGAGGCATGAAATTACTGCCATGAATGCCGGTGTGGGATGGCTGTCCGTTAACACGATTACCAGTAGGTGACAACAGCGGGGGTTGAGCCACAGGAATAATTCGTATACCAGGCAGACGCTGCAATGAGATATTCTGCAGCTTGACTCCCACATAATGCTCCGTGAGAAAGGCAAAAAATACTCTCATGTCGCAAGGAGTTGGACCAGCATCCACTCGACCACGGATACATATGGGATGTATCTCTAGTTTCTGCATGAAGTCGATCAAGGAAGGTAGTTCAGGTGCATGAACTTCCAGTTCACGGAGGCGCGAAAAAGTACGCGGAGATAGAGGGTGGTCTGTCAGATCTTGGGAGATGGATTGTGATAATGTAAATGCAAGTTTGCGTAAGTAGGTTTGTTTGGCGAGATGACGAAAGATGACAATATCGATTTCACCACATGTGACTTCCTCGAGGTGGTTCCATGTGCGAAGCATGTTTGGAATCAGAAAGCCGGGGGGACTGGAGGGAAGGGTGATGACTTTGACAGCAGGGCAAGTGGTAGGAATAGCATTCCATATAGCAGATCCAGCCGCATCCAACCGAGCAGTTCCAGTACTCGAGCAATCAAACTTAAGGGATGTCAGAAGAGGTCCACATAGAGTTTGCAAGAAGCCCATAGTTTGGGGTCTGCTGTCATTCCAGACGAGCGAGCGTAGATTCGGGAACAGTGGGGATGTGCCAGTAGGTGGACGGGAAAGTGTAAAAATGACGGATGGTTCTACAGGACGAAGGGGGTTTAAGACACGCAGACGTTGAACACGACTAGCATAGCCTCGAATGATGTCCCACTCTGCTTTTCGAGGTGCCCGTTCAATACCAACCACTGCTGTACCTAGAGGCTAAGGAGATGATAAGTACTCGATGAATTAAATACTGCTGTAAACAACAAACGACATACCAGACGCCAATACAATCGAGTGACTTCTGCAGGCAAGCATTGGATTAGGGGCGCAACGCCGTCGAGATTTGACCAGAGAGCATTCAATGCCACCGCATGAAAGGCCTTGCAGGTTCTGGCAAGACGTGCTAGGGCCTCTTTGGAAGCATTTGGGATATCGTCTTCGTCATACAGATGCTCACATATTATCACGAGTAGTTCATGCACGAGGAACAATCTGTGCATTTTGCCAACAAAGAGTCAAAGCCTAGTCAGCTGGACCTGAGCTGGTCCCTGACTGATACCGATTGGTATATTTATTTGGTCTTGCTTGCGACTGGGATTATTCATACTCAGCTCGCTGTCGGTCACGATGTTCACGACTTTGTTCTGCACCACCAGCACCCTCCACCATGTCAGCTCCCAACTCTCCAAGACTCGTCGACTCGTTTACCGCACCAAGGGAAATATTACAGGAGTTTGCAGATCTTGCGGAAGAAGACAATTTTGATCCATTCGCAGAAACAGCCTCAAAACGTCAGATTGCCGCAGCGGCAGTCCGACTACCACAACCGTCGCTTCAGTCGTGTCGCTCAGGAGAGTGCAGATGCTTTTAAACCCGTTGAAGATGGTATGGAGGTGGAAGGAGGATACAAAGAGGCGATGAGACTGGCTAGGTTGGAGCAAGAGGAAGCAAGAGTCAGGCGGGCAATTGAAGAGAAAGAGAGGCAGGAAAGAGAAGAGGGAAAGATAAAAATGGACCTCGACAAGACCCCTCCTCGTGCCGAACTCGAGGATGTCGCCATGGAGCTTGCCGCTGCAAGGGAGCTCGCGAACTCTCGTGAAGCTACTTCTGGGACCAAACGCAAACGGAGATGGGACGTTCCTGAGCCTGCGGACGAGAATGTTGACCCTAATAAGACTGATAAAAACGAATGGTCGAAAGAAGCTTTGGAAGCATCTGCGCCGAAAAAACGTCGTTCTCGCTGGGACGCTACTCCGGCAGAGGCTGTCGGTGAGACACCTAAGAAATCTCGCTGGGATCAAGCTGCTGTCATTCCGGAAGCCCCAATGACGCAGATAATAATGAATGCGCCGGGTATCATGCAGGAGGATAAACATAATCGTTATCTCAGTGATGAGGAGTTGGATGCTATTTTGCCGGCCACTGGATATGCTATTGTTACTCCTCCCCCTGGGTATGCACCAATGGTAGCTCCCCGCAAGCTTATGGGTGCACCGGTCACAGAAGTAGGTGGCTTCCATATCCAGGAGGGTTCAGATGCTGCAGCAGTGGCTGCTGCCGCAGGCCTCGCGCCTGAACTTCCCACCGAAATACCTGGTGTCGGTAGTCTTGCATTTTTCAAGGCCGAGGATGCTCAATACTTCGCCAAGATTCTTAAGGAGGAAGACGAAACGGAGCTTTCGGTGGATGAGATGAAGGAGCGCAAAATCATGCGTTTACTTTTGAAGATAAAAAACGGTACTCCTCCTGTACGAAAAACTGCCCTCCGTCAAATCACTGACAAGGCCCGCGAGTTTGGTGCCGGTCCTCTTTTTGACAAGATCCTTCCCTTGCTCATGGAACGTACTCTCGAGGATCAAGAGCGCCACCTACTTGTGAAGGTCATCGATCGTGTCCTCTACAAGCTCGATGACCTTGTCCGTCCGTACGTTCACAAAATTCTCGTTGTCATTGAGCCGCTCCTCATTGATGAGGATTACTATGCTCGTGTGGAGGGTCGGGAGATTATATCCAACCTTTCCAAGGCTGCCGGTCTTGCACACATGATATCCACTATGCGTCCTGACATTGACCACGCCGACGAGTACGTTCGTAACACCACCGCTCGTGCATTCTCTGTCGTTGCCTCCGCGCTCGGTATCCCCTCGCTCTTACCTTTCCTGAAGGCCGTATGTCGCAGTAAGAAATCGTGGCAGGCGCGGCATACCGGTATCCGTATTGTGCAACAGATCGCTATCATGATGGGTTGCGCCGTCTTGCCCCATCTTCGCAATCTCGTGGCCTGTATTGCGCACGGTCTGCAGGATGAGCAGCAGAAAGTGCGGACCATGACTGCACTCGGACTTGCCGCCCTTGCTGAAGCAGCTGCGCCCTACGGTATCGAGTCCTTCGATGAGGTGCTGAAGCCACTTTGGCTCGGTATTCGTCTGCATCGTGGCAAAGGCCTTGCTGCCTTCTTGAAGGCTATCGGCTTTATTATTCCCCTCATGGACCCCGAGTACGCATCCTACTACACCAAGGAAGTTACAGTCATTCTCATTCGTGAATTCCAAACCTCTGACGAAGAGATGAAGAAGATCGTCCTCAAGGTGGTCAAGCAATGCGCAGCCACTGAGGGTGTCACCCCTCAATACATCAAGCAGGATATCCTACCCGACTTCTTCAGGGCATTCTGGGTTCGCCGCATGGCACTTGATAGGCGAAACTATCGGCAAGTTGTAGAAACGACTGTCGAGCTGGCGCAGAAGGCTGGGGTGTCCGAGATAGTCGGCAGAGTTGTGAATGAGCTGAAGGATGAAGCTGAGCCTTACCGAAAGATGGTCATGGAAACAATTACCAAAGTCGTCGCCATGCTCGGTGCTTCAGATATTGACGAGCGGCTCGAGGTCCGTCTCGTTGACGGCATCATTTACTCCTTCCAGGAACAGACCACCGAGGATCAAGTCATGCTTGATGGCTTCGGTACGGTGGTCAATGCCCTTGGTATTCGTGTCAAGCCCTATCTCACGCAGATTGTCTCTACCGTGCTCTGGCGGCTCAATAACAAAAGCGCTAAGGTCCGGCAACAAGCTGCAGATCTCACGACGAGGCTGGCTGTCGTAATCAAGCAGTGCGGTGAAGACCAACTTCTCAGCAAGCTGGGCCTCGTTCTTTTCGAGCAGCTTGGTGAAGAATATCCCGACACTCTCGGTAGTATCATTGCTGCAGAGGGAGCAATTGCTAATGTTGTTGGTATGACGCAGATGAATCCGCCGGTCAAGGATCTTTGTGAGTTGCTTTTACTATGTTGTAACATTGATTGCTGATACCTGTGATTAGTGCCTCGAATGACGCCTATCCTTCGTAATCGTCATGAGAAGGTGCAGGAGGCATCTATCAACTTGATTGGTCGTATTGGTGAGTGTTGATGTGATGTATTCATTTCATTCGCTAACTTATTTTTCAACCAGCTGATCGTGGGGCAGAATTCGTGCCGGCACGAGAGTGGATGCGCATCTGTTTCGAGCTACTGGATTTATTGAAGGCACACAAGAAAGGTATTCGGCGTGCTGCTGTCAACTCCTTCGGATATATCGCGAAGTCCTTGGGTCCTCAGGATGTTCTCTCGGTTCTTCTCACCAACTTGCGCGTGCAAGAACGTCAAAGTCGTGTTTGTAGCACTGTCGCCATCGCCATCGTCGCTGAGACTTGTGGTCCCTTCACGTGTATCCCTGCCATCTTGAATGAATATCGGACAGCGGAGCTCAACGTGCGCACCGGTTGTCTCAAAGCCCTCACATTCGTCTTCGAATATATTGGTCCCCAATCGGCGTACTACTGTGACTCCGTGGTCACCATGCTTGAAGATGCTCTCACAGATCGCGACCTTGTTCATCGTCAAACTGCTAGCGTCATCGTGAAGCACATCGCACTTGGTGTCGCGGGCATGGGCTGCGAAGACTCTATGATGCACCTGATGAATCTTGTCTGGCCTAACTGTTTTGAAACGTCGCCGCACGTCATTGGCGCTGTCATGGATGCAATCGAAGCAATGCGTGTATGTCTTGGCCCCGGTGTCCTCTTGAGCTACGTTCTTCAAGGTCTATTCCACCCTGCACGCAAAGTCCGCGAGGTGCGTCTTTTCAGGTGCATATTCTATATCGCGTACTGATTCAATTTACTTTGCTACTAGGTCTACTGGCGCGTCTATAACGCATTGTACCTGGGCGCTTCGGATGCTATGGTTCCCTTCTATCCCGACCTGGGTGAGCTCAGCGAAGGACAAAATGTATATGACAGACATCCACTGCAGATGTTCCTCTGAACAACGTCGAATGCTGATATGTATGATTAGGCACTGAGTTACTTATGTTTTTATTACCATGCCTTGTGTAGATCTAAGTGCAATAATGGAATGATGGGTCCTTCAACATTATGTCAAGCACCTGATGTTTCGTGTCATTTGTTGTTCATGACTACTATGCAGTTCAAGTGGATTCAGCATCGTGTGCTGAACGGATTGACAACATTTCAGACTGGCGTATTGTAGACATCTATGCGAGGTATTATGTGTATGGTCTAAGCAAATGAACAAAAAG